CAAAAAGCACTAAAAAGTAACAAAATAATGTCAAACACCCCCAAAAGTAAGAAATTTCTCTTCTTGCTTGAAATATGTCTATTTACTACTTTACAATTATTGTTATTTCGGAGTCGGCGTCGGTCTGATGTCTTAGACCTATTTTCGTTTAAGATAGTATATTGACACAGACCGACTCCAAAATAACTATGATTCCTTCTATTTTAGAAGTTTGCTAAAAAGTTGAACACCAGTGCCATTAGCATAACACAGGTAAAAAACACTTATTCATATTCCCACAGAAAATGACTACAGATAATAAAAAAACCTATTAAACTTTGACACGTGTCGAAAAATTAGCCCTCTTTTGTTGTAAACATATTCTGGCAACGATCAATGCACCTTCATGCACTGCTCAGCGAATCCGGTGTGAACCGGATTACTCCTGTTTGAACCGGATTTGAGGTTACGAATATTAATTTCCGTGGTATTATGTAGTTATTAATTTATAATAGGATTTAATATCTTGGTCTTTGTTGTCCAATTTTATCCTTGGAAAGTGGGATTTTTTTTTTAATTAGCAATCATTTTTTGTTTAAAAGCAACAAAAGCACCTTCCCCCGTTCGGTGCTCAAACTAAGCCTAAATTAGGGGTGACTAGGTTTTATTCAATGACCCTGGCCCATTACAAATGTGTGCAGATAGAATCATAATATTTAATCTTAAGAACGTCGAAATGTTCCTATTAACGGCCGCTTTCACTACTCGCGTTGTATATTTCTTTAAACTTTATGCCGATGTTTGTACGTTTTTTTTTTAATTATATTGAAGAAAAACAATGTGTTGTCTTGAATAAATCTATAAAATGAATTATCATCAAATCGTTAGTAAGTATTTAATAATTTATTCCGAACGAACGCTTCTGTAACGAACGCCTAGCAGTCACGTGACCGCCACGTGGTGATCCGCCATTTGTAAAAACTTGACCAACATTATGAGACCTCTATTCTGATAACTACAGACCACTTATTGTAGGCGTTCGTTAATTGGTCATATTAACGGCTATTATTTCGATCATTTGATTGCTGAATTCGTTGAACAAAAATTACGTACACCATTTTAAATTAATTTGAAACCTTGGTGCTATTTAAATAAGGTTTAAATTTATTAACACTTCCTGTGGCATCTTTTTTTCATGATTTTGTATATTCGGTTTAGAATATACAATAGAATCAGAATCACAAACTGTTTGGGTGGTTACGAAGCAATGATTACCAGTAATTTATGTCGCATTGTTTGCATTCATTCGTACATATTTTGTTTATTTAAAGGGTGTTGGATAAAAACTGAATTGACTAAGCTCACAGCGGCGTATCTGTAACTTTAGAATTTAATAAAATAATCCAGAAATATGCATTCAATAATAGAGCGTCGGTAGCTCAGGGGCTAAGCACTTGACTTGCAATCTGCAGGTCCTGGGTTCGAATCCCACCACGTAACAATTTTTTCGATTTCCGATTTACATTTACGACGTTCTTACGGTAAAGGAAAACATTGTGATGCAACCTGCACATATCTGAAAAGAAATTCAAAGATATGTGTAAAGTCAACCAACCCGCACTTGGCCAACGTGGTTTACTATGGTCTAATCACCCTTTGGGTAGGCTCCGAGCCCCTCGGTGGGGACGTACAGTGAGCTGATGATGATGCAATCGATACGGTCCTAATACTAAGTTCATATAGATTAGTATATTAACTAATATGTACTTACTTTTTGTGGAAAACTAAAAACTGTCTGAATATTGCTTTTTTGTCTTTGTTTATTCGAGTAAGTTCGATCGTATCAAAGCTTGTAAGACTCGGCATTATATTGTGTACTGGTAAATTTCTATCAAATATCAATTGCTCCCTCTGTAGTAATTCCTATGCCCGCAAAAATCATAATCAGCGTAACAGCGACCAGACGTGTTAAAATGAAATAAAAAATCCCACCACAAGATGGGGTTTGACACGACCAGTTAACGTTGATCTCTGTGAATCGCTCGTTAACTCTTCATTTGTAAAGGATCCACAAGCGTAATGGGTCTCGATATATTTGTTGTGAAAGTATTAATGGTTTTGGAGCGAACGAGACGCGCGAAATTTAATCTTGCGCGCAAAAAGTATTGAATAGAACGGGACAAAAAGAATGTGATAAATGGATCGCCTCGGTCATCATGCTCTCCTGGTACTTACACTTCTAGTTCTAGATTGTTGTTTTCAAACACAAGTTTTAACTTATTAGTAAGACATTATTAAAACGTAAAATAAAAAACAAAAGATAATCGAGAAAATAAAAGCAGACAGAAACGATATTTCCATTTTCAAATAAATCAATCCGACTGTCTTACAATTTAAAAAAAAAACACTAACAAAGTTAAATATGCAATCGTTATTGTAAATGCAATCTCTTTGTTATAAATTGTATAGTACACTAGCTCTCACCCGCGACTCTGTCTGCATGGAATTAAACAAAAACATAATTAGTAGCCTACGTGTTCTTCCATACTCTGTTCTACATCTATAACAAATTTCTAACTTAAAAATGAATCGTCTTTACGTAGTATCATGGTTATAACACCCCAAAGCATTTTTCATTAGTATTTAACCATCCAATACAAAATCTCTTTCCCAAAGGGTAACTAACCCTAAACAGCGATTTCCTTAACAAAACCATAAGGCGGGGAGTAATCCATCACGAGTCCATCGCCGTGCATTATACTATAATTACGTACACCAATACTTTAAGTTTCGATTTCCTATCAGTAATATACCAAGCGAATTTAACCCTTAAACAGCACACTTACAGGATACATTTGCTTAAATATTTTACCAGTGTATTCGAACTTGATGGTTTGTTGTACAACAAACAAGGGTTACCAAACGCTTCACCACAATTTCAGTTCCTAAGACACGTGTCCTTTGTTTGGTAGAAGTTTAGGGAACAAATTATATATCTTTACACGTGTTCTCTGCATTTATTTCGTTGTTTATTCATCATTGCTTCATAATGTTTATAAATTCTACTGTTTTGTTTACTTTGTTAATGTTGTTTTTATATCAAAGAAATAGTAATCATAAGTAATAAAGGTAGCATTCTTAGGACAACAAAAGTAACAAAAAGCCAACATCACGCGGTGTTCCCAGGCGGTCACCCATCCAAGTACTGACCGCGCCCGACGTTGCTTAACTTCGGTGATCGGACGAGAACCGGTGTATTCAACGTGGTATGGACGTTGGCGGTAGCTACGCATTATTTAAGGTATTTAAAGTAAGTATATTAACTTACATTTTTAATGTACCAAAAATAAGCATGAACGTTACTAAAATAATAAATAGTATCGAAATTCTACTCAAACAAAATGTTTAAGAGCTCACACTTCAACAGTGGTAGAACCCGCTTTTACATCTTGGCATGAATTGTCCCGGCTCGCCCGGTGAAATACCACGACCACACAGAAGACAGGCGTCAAGTGGAAGCAATTCCGCGTTTCGTCTGATGAGTGTGCGTCCCAGAGGCCTAATTTAGTCCTCTTTCCCTTCCCACCCTTTTTCTTAGGAGGTAAGAATGGGAAGTGGAAGTGGACTTTCCGGATGAGAGGATGCATGGGAAGGGAAAATACTTTCTTTCCGTGCATCCTCTCCTCCGTCGGTTAAAGGTAGGCAACGCATATGCAATTGCGTATGTCTATGGGCAACGGTCACTTCGCTATTTCGACGATTTCAGGTAGCCGCTCGCTCCTTTGCCACTTTATGATATAAAAAAAGTAACTAAATGCGGTGTTAAAAATATTAAAAGAAAAATTACTTTCTCTCTTTTCTTTCGATTCATATCTATCAAAAATAAAACAATAAAGTGTCTGAACTTCAGACATCGCGAAGCAGGCTCTGACCTCTTAGACACTATTATGCTCGAATCAAGTACCAAACAATAAGTGTAGCAAAAAAAAATCGTCAGAATAGAGACGAAATAAAAAATGAAATTTCAAGCATCCTTGCCCGTTCCTAAGTATTTAAAATACGGTTTTGCTTAAAAAGTGAATCCAGACGTAAAAGTTATAAAAGTCCAAAAAGATAAGGCGACATCACAAATGACGTTTTCAGACGAGAGCATGAATTACAATGTATCGTTTGTAGCTTTGTCGAAAACGGTACCACTTCAAAGGCTATCACAGGCCACAAAGAGAATCTCTTTGTTGAAAAACATATACGAAAATGTACTTCGTATTTATTTGTGCACTTTATAAGTGAACTTAGGTCCACTAATGTATATTAAATATTCGAAATTAATCACTTAATTTAAACATTACTTATTGTTCTTTTTCAGATTATTTCTAATTATTCGGTATAAACAATTATTTTTTTCTTTATAAAATTGTCATATAATAGAATAAAATATGTTAGAATAGCATAGCGTAAGAAAAATAACCCAAGGAATAATTTCAGTCTTTTGTTTGGGTTATAGTCATAGTTAACCCATAAGAAATTAATAAAGAAATTACTTTCATTTCATTCTAAAAAGTACACTAAATATTGAAGGTTTTAATCTGAGTGGCGCTGACGCCTTCACATCATAGTTAGCGGAAAACTTATTAACATGCTGTATAAATTATATTAAACCTTGAAGCTATATAGTTAAGGTTTATATTTCATGCATAAATTTTTGCTGTTAGCAATAGGATGTTGCAAAAGTATTAGGGGTATTAAATTAATATCTGTCAGCTTAAGGCGGTTATTATGAATCATTCGACACTCAAAGTGTGCGATATTAGTGAGAAACGCTTTGTGGGATTATGCTCTCAGTTTTTCTGTGATCTCTACTTATGTTCAGCATTTTGTTAATAATGAACTACCAACATTTTATACAGGATGTTCTGAAAGTCTATCCATGAGAAATTCTAAGAAATTTTGTAATTAATATGTTTTCTTTTAAATAAATTACACTTTGATACCAGGAGTAAGGGAGAAAAATTAAAAAGATGTAATCAAGGACCATTATTTATTGCACGTTGGACCATGGATGGCTCGTTATTTGCACAAAGTAAGTAATTCACCGTATTTTGTTATCACAATCTGGAACATTCTATTTAATTGACACCAAGAATTAGATTTAGAATTTACAAATCAAGTCAATTTTGACCGCAAGAATTTAAAGTACTTGAATGTTTAAATATCATCATCGTCTTCTTCTAGAACTTTCCATAGATAACGGTTGTTGGTCTCGATGCTTCGTATATCTTCGGTGGTGACGTCATCACGTGCTAACTTCATTATTGACTCGAAGTCATCATTATTGACTGACGCTACTGACAGTAAGGTTGTATCAGTGATGTTAATCGAGTCTCCTGCGTCTCCCCTTTCGTGTTGAGCTCTTGCGTCAAACCTGTTAGTTGCTCGATTCTGGAAAGTAACAGTAGGCACTAGCACTTTTTCATGCCTCCTATATAGAACAAATGATATCTTACGGTGATGGAAAACATCATGATGCAATCTGCACATATCTGAGAAGAAATTCAAAGGTATGTGTAAAGTCAACCCGCACTGGGTCATCGTGGTTGACTATAGCCTAGTCACCCCTAACATAGTCTTAGAGCCGAGTGAGCTGATGATGATATAACCATTTAAACTTTTGTTCACATTATAGATTATTACCAGGTGGCAGATGCAAAATAGAAAAGGTGTGATTGAATAGTAAAAAAAAAATGTCCTTTTTCCTGTATATCTTCCTTTATCCATTACGGGTATGAGATGCCGGTTACATCACATCTGGTTGGTGTTGATTATGTGGTTTCACTCTTAAATCATTGGGAGTACTTACATCTATAATAGCCATGTGTAATATTGGAACTTCCAGCTTTAATGGTTTCACGTAGTCTGGCTCCTTATTCTTATTCTCTTCAGCTTCTACCTATTTAAAAATTAAAAACTGATGTATCCAAAAAAACTTTTACTGTATTAATTTACCTAATCAATCCTTCATTGTCATTAATAGTTTATCGTTCATAAGAGATGGATAGATTGCGTGAAAGGTGAGATGATTAAGAAGGGGTGACGACTGAGATCACGGCAGATACATTGATTTGGATTAAGGAAAACCGGTGCGCCCTACGTAAGTGGGACAAGGGCAGGGAAATAAAGACACTTCATAATTATCAGGTTATGCTACTAATATTTCCATTAAATAATCATCTTACTCTTTTCTGTCGCCACTTTTCCAGATATGTGTTGGTGGACTGTAATCCACGCCGGCTCTCCTGGAGTAGTCTATCTATACGATCGTTTTTGTTTGGATAACTCCAATTATTAAGTACCTGAAATAATCAGGAAATTAATCAAAATAAACTATGCCCGGAGTTCAGCTAGAATGCATTAAAAGAGAACAGAGAACTCGTCGTTTTAAGGCTGGTTGTCTCACCAAGTTAATGGCAACGAATCTGCTTTTTGAGGATGCTACTAATCTTGAAGAACCAATATGTCCAAACGGCCTGATTAGTAGATGTATGCAAATAAAGATATAAACAAAATATCACTTACTGCTGTCATAACAGCTAAAAAGAGAACTTCAGAACATAGAAGAGGTAGATTCATTAATCGTGCACCTTCCAATAATAAGACCTTCGTCTCTTCTTTCACTGATTTAGGCAATGCTTGAAGATTTTCGGATAATTTTTTAATCAGTTTAAGCGAGACATTGCCAAGAACACAGTCTATTACGAAAAGACATGAAACCAATGCGAATAGAAATAAAACTCTTCTTACTTTGTACATGACTGAAATTTAGTAAAGATATTATACTTGTTATAAATTTTTCACATTGATTTCAAACAACTGTGACTGTGAATTTAACGTCTAAAATGTCAACATGTTTATTCAACGGTGTCAAATTTCAAATGAAAATTGTCTAATTTCGACATTTTTCGATTAACCAAAGCGTCAGATTGCGTCAGATAAACGATCATTGTATCGATAATGCTTTTGACAACCTATATTCTTAGGTTTTGTTCCTAAAATACAAAATAAATAAAATAATTTGAAAAAAATATTTTATTAGACGTTTCTACGACGAGTCCAATAAAAAATTTATTTATCAATTTTATTTCATCAAACATACTTGATAAAACCTTAGAAAGGGCAGATTACAGATTAACTAAATAGTAATCTTGTAACCATAGTTACGATAACATAGCTGAATTGTTGTTCTTAGCAATAATGTCAATTTTATTTTGTCAAACAATTTGCAGAATAGTGTCTTTAATTTTATTTGAATCCTTTCTGTGAATAGCTGAGCTGAAAATGGTAAGATTTCCACTGGATATTGTTTAGAACTCTTTAATTCATTTAAATATTATAATTTCGACCATTTACGCAAACTGCAAGGACGAAAAAAATTAGAGATAAGATCATAATATAATAATATATCTAAAAATGTATTACGTTTTCGTTTTAACTTTTAACGTTATAAAAATAAATTCTACGCTTATATACCAAACTTTTGTAATCAGAATACCTTCCCACTTATAATAAAATTTATTAAAAATTATTTCAGCCACCCAAAGGAAAAGGCGCAGGAAAAAGGGCTCCTGGTATGTTGTGTAACATATAGATTAGCTTCTACGAATAATATTTTCTAACTATACTACTTTTTCTCCTTTTCAGCCATCGTCATAGATGGAGTGGACACATCTGAGATGACAAGAGAAAAGCTGGAGCAGTTCACTCTCCGAGTCAAAGAAGAATTAGACAAAGAGAGGGAGGAAAGAAATTACTTTCAATTGGAGAGAGATAAAATACGAACCTTTTGGGAAATTACCCGACAACAATTAGAAGAAGCTAAAGCTGAACTGAGAAATAGAGAAAGAGCTACAGAAGAAGCGAAAGAGGAGAATGAAGCGCTTTTAGAAACTGAAAAGCAGAAAATAAAACATTTAAAATATGAACAACAAGCCGCTGCAGCCGCTTTGAGAGCTGAAAATTTAGTCGCATTGAAGGCAGCAAAAGAAGAACATGCAGAACAAGAGCTGGAACTGCTGAATGACAAACGAATGCTCAGACAAGAAATAAGAGAGAAAGCTCTTGCCGCTCAAGACGAATTGAGAAGAGCGAAATTGGTTCATGCCGAAGAATTATCTAAAGCCCGAGATGATTTTCAAGAGAAAGCTCGCCAGATAGAAGATAAGGCTGAAAAGAAGCTACATGAGACCAAAGTAGAGCTTACTGTGAAACATAGAATGGAAATAGCAGAAGTGGAGGAGAGAAAGAATAAACAGCTGTCAGATTTGATCGCCCATCATGATCGCGCTTTTACTGATCTCAAAAGTTATTACAACGACATCACGCTTAATAACTTAGGTAACTTATTATCTAATCAAATGAGTTGAAAATCTTCAAAGTACTAAGTATCAAATAACGTTATTTATTCCTCAGGTCTTATTAGTAGCATCAAGCAACAAATGGAAGAAATGCAAAAAGTTAAAGAACGTGCGGAGAAGGTCGCTAAGGATGCAGTTGCTGAAGCGAAGAACCTGCGGGAACCTCTTGAAGCAGCGATTATTGATAACAAAGAGTTAAAGCGTCAGATGTCTAATTATGACAGAGATAAGGCTGCGTTGGCTGTAAGTAGAAAATTTAAAGCTACAATTTTAAAGTAAAAAAATTTAAATGCGAACGTAAAGATATTATTTCCAATAGACTTAAAGGCAGTTAATAAAGTAAAAGACAAACCAAAAAGGAAAGTTCAAAAAAAGAGCTTATATTTTAATTTAATTAATATCTAAATCTTACAATTTTCAGGCAAAAACGAAACAACTCGCATCACTCGAAAAGCAGTTCGAAGTATTGAAATGGGAATACGAAGTGCTTCAAGTGAGATTTGACAGGATAGAAAAGGAACGCAACGAATTGAAGTCGCGATTCTCTCGGGCTGTGCTCGAGGTGCAACAGAAGGTTTCCCTTAAAACATCCCTGTTAGAAGCCAAGTTGAAAAGCTTAGAAGCCAGGGACCTGGGACCGAAGGAGATACACGTGAGTAAATTATAATTTTAATAGTTTTGTAATTTATCAAAATAATAACAATAGACTTCGTTTTTCTTTTATTGGACTAAATACATTCCTTGCATTTTTTGTGTAGGATCTGTTGAAATTGAAAGACACTCAAATAGAAGATCTACACTATGAAGCAGCGCGACTCCGGAAAGCTCATGACGATCTCCTCGCTACGTACGAAGCTAAGCTTACAAAGCTCGGTATACCGCCTGAAGAATTGGGATTCAAGTAAGCTCAATAAATAATCATTACTAAACATTTACAAGTATTATTATATTTGTATTCAGATAATTAACGAAGCTTGTACTTAGCTTTCATACTTAAAATTGAGCTTTGTATAATTTTATTAAAGCGCCATCTATTTGTGATAAGCAAACTTAATACAATTTCCACGAATATAGTATTGTAATAGCGACATCTTACAGATCTTTGAATTACTGGATTGAGTGCCATTCTATCTGAGCTCACGAAATGTACACATCAGCGTATTTTAATTTTAATAAATTGCAAAGTAATAATTTCCCATGTAAACAAAACATTTGTTAAATCATGTTATTACTTCTCTCCGGTAGATGGCGCTTATTTGATATTATACATGGTACAATGTTTTTCCATTAATTCTTTAAATTTATTATAAATCTGCTTCTAACATTTGTTAATTTCAGACCTTTGAGGGCAGTGACAGTGGCAGGGCTCTCTCCAGTCGTTGGAATGGGACCTGCGGGTTTAGTCACCAACGACAATGTGTAGATAACAAATGTATTCGAAAAAATCGCAAAATCGTATTTTTTCTTTTTAAATAATATTCATAATCATACCTACAGATGAAATTAAATAGTATATTATAGGTACAGGATTTGTAACCCATATGTGTTTAGAAACTTTTAGTAAGGAAGAACTAAATGTAACTCCATCATTTATTTGTGGCCAGCATTTTCAGTATTTGGCATAAAAATAGTTTTTTTTTTTCATTTAAAAAATTTTCTTTTTTAAGCAATTTTTTTCTGCAGGGCTGTATTCTGTGTATATAAAATTCCCTGATTTTTTTTTCCTGCACTTTTCTAATACATTAAAAAGTTATAGTTTTAAAGTTTTTACTTAAAATTTATGGTAGAAAATAAATAAAACAATATTTCGAAGCCAATAAGTGTATTTTATTACTACTAATTTTCTCATTTATATATTTATATACAAAACTATGATAAGGCAACAGTTTCAAATTAATAAAAATGCTTTTATCATTTTTATAATGACAATATATCGCATTGTATCATTTGGTGAGAATTTTGCTCTAATTTTCTCAGTTTTCTTGACTTTTGTGACATAAGAGAGTAATAAGTAAAACATGAAGAATTTTAAGAAAATGCAAGTAAAAAAAATTATATGTTGACCTGAACTTACGAGTGAGTCAAAATGTAAAAGCAAGCTTAAAATTGCAATATTTACGATGGGTTTCTGAGACCTAAATGAGCGCAATATATTTTAAACGTAAAAGATATTGGTGTGATGTTCCATTCGTGAAGCACTTTTATAATATAATATTGTTATCTCTTTCCTCCATTATAATAAGAGAGAGAGAGACGAAAACAATATTACTCACGTGTTCAGTGGAAAGTCACAGTTACAGTTAAAATTATCGTAACATTTTCAGTTATTTCTCCTACAAAAAAGAAAATAGACTAAAAATAAACTAAGTTACATACATACATATAAACACAAATAATAATTTTATAGAAAATACATGTGTGTGTTACATTTACATGATTAATTTAATGAATCATTAAAAGGAAAATCATTGCATTTTAATTATAAGCAAGGATGAGTTTGAAGACGGGTTCGCGGACGAGAGCGAAAGCGTGCCCGTGGTCACGTCCCGATGCTTTGGAGAAACAGAGAGGTTTAGTGGGTATGCCTCCGATATGGAGGAGAATCCCACATAACTACCGCGTCCCCCCCGGGGCGCGGAGTATGCATAAAGCATTCCTCTCTGGTAAAAAAAGGATGAGTTTGAAACTATGAATAAAGTGTAGTTATTTTGAAAATGCAAAACATTATATATGGCAGTGGAACATGCAATATTACATACATTTTGTGAACGATTAATTTTACCTTAAAAAACATAAGTATAGTAAATTTATTTTTATATAGTTTAGATTCCCATTAAAATGGAAATAATTGAACGTAATTGAACATTAAAAAATTGTATCAAGTCATTCGTTTCCACTGTCGAAATACTTGTAAAAAAATCTCTTACATTCTGTTTAAAAATGTAAGACATTAATATGTTTTTACAAGGCATATTCGACCTTGTAAATCCAAGGTTATATTTTTTTTAATTGAATTTTTTTACAATTATTAATTAAATACGCAGTAAATTAATAGTAGAATAATAAATACATTCGTGATAAAGATTTAGTAAAATTTATACACAACCGAATTTACTAAAGGTAAATAAAATATTTTGTTTGTTTTTCTGAAAATAGCGCTTAAAATTAATTTGACTTAAAGTTACAGTGATATTAAAAGATTGCTTTTCATTTTCTTACTAAAAAACATTTTTATCTACAAACTAGATTGCGGTCTTTATCCAGAAATATAATAAAGCTAAGTTTCCACTGGTGAAACATCCATACAAATTCGTTTTCTCGTTATAATTAAGGACAATGAGACGATTAGTTTTGTACGAATGCTTCGACAGTGAAAGCCTTTGTTAATGTTTTCATATGAATACATCGTTATATTAAAAAACAAGTCCATTGAAATAATTAGATGGAACATAAAAATAAATCTAATTATTTTTTAATCAATAATTTATAAATTGAATATTTATTACAAAAAAATTAAATAAACAGTGCAAGAAAAAAAACTAAAGTAATTTAAAATATATGGAAAGATCTTTGTTACCTATTGTATAATCGTTCCAGTGTTACATGTTTCCTAAATAAATATATAGGATGTCCGGAAAAGACGTGTACAATGGAGTATCACAGATTCGCGACCTCTAGTGTTCAAATTACGCAACTTTGGATAGAGTTGAGTCGGATTAAATCGACCAAGGAACCTGTATTACTTCTTTGTACACGCCTTTCATGGACATCCTGTATATATTATGTAATTATTATATATTTTCTTAAATGGTAATTTATTTTATAGAGCATTAATTCTAAACATGTGCGTGGGTATTTGCGTTTTCTAGCTAATTCTTATTTTCACAGTCTAAGCATTTTTTTTTAAATTTAATTTCGCCTATTTTTCATTTATATATTAATATTTTAATTGCATTTAACATTTATATAGCTTTTATACATCTCACTATAATGAATAGATTTATAATATATTATGGAAAATCATTTTAAAAATTATTTTACATATTATTAAGCAAAGAGATCACATATTTCACGTACACGGGATTTAAATACAAGCAAAGCAAAAAGCTTCTGTTATTTTTTTTTATTATAAAAATTATTTAATAATTCATTTCCTTATCAGTTTTAATAATAAAATTTATCAAATTAAATAAAAAAAGATTTATATATACTTGGATAATTGGATATCTATTTTTAATCGATAAATATAATTCTGCCTTGTATAGACTCAAATGCAATATTCACAAGCCTTTTTTATTATAATAATAAAGGAATTTATTAATTAAAATAGTAATACAACCATATATTATATATTCCTTTAAGCGTTTGTGAAGTATTTAAAAAAAAATATCTTAATAAATCCATATTAAAAGAAAATCATTTTATAATGTAATTTAAATAGAATTGTATACACAAATAGAATAATCAATAGTTTACAAATAATGTTACAGAATATACAAAGTAATAGAAAGGAAATAACGCTAAATGTAACATTTGAAAATACTACTATACAATTTAGGGAACGTACCCATACTACGTGACCCGTTTAGAGGGGGGAGCGGAATCTTTACAATACTAAGGTCAGTTACAGGAGCGGGTTTGACGAAGTAACAGCCCGAGCTATGGCTCCTGAGGGAGCCCTCGAGTCTTGTTAGGTTCAGGCTAAGCGCCATCTGCGCTAGGCCACCTCAAGCCCAGTGAAGCTATGCTTCTTGAAGGCAGACTACTCAGAAAATTTAAAAAAAAATAACGGGATCGAGAGTGTGGCTCAGGTTTTTGTCTCGTAGTCGTTAGTTGTTCTTTTTCATAATACATAATTCACTAGTAATTTAAGTATGCATGCAGTCTTATGCTATAAAGAAGAGTATGAGCCAAATTATTTTGTTTTTCAATTTTTGCCTGTGAAATGATTAAAAATTATAATTATGAGTTACTACGTAAAAACAAAAGGGGGAAGGGGGTCGTGGCATACTACGAGTTGTCACCAAGGGGAAGGAGGGGTCGAAAATACTAAAAAAAATAGGTCACGCAGTGTGGGTATGTTCCCTTATTACATCAGAACATTTAAAATTTGTATTAAATAATGTTAAAATCGTTATCAAATAGTGTAAAATGCAACATATTTTTAAATATTTTAATTCAGTAATTTACATTAAAAAGTTTTAAATAATATTTACCTAATAGTGCAAAATGTAACATTAAGAAATAATAAAAATATTTATAGTTTTACAAATAACAATAAATGTAACATTTAGAAATAACAAGAGAATTAGTCGATAGCAAATAACGTCAAATGTAACATTCAGAAATTGATTGAAATGGAAATACAATTTATATTTGTGTGAGCAGTTAGTGTTGTCGGTTCGGATTACTATGGACATAGTATGTGTATCGATGAATTTTTAAAAAGTTAGGCATGGGACGGAAAAATCGATACTGGCTACATATGGCTGGGACGATAAAATTTTCTAACGTTTCCAATTCAGGCTTAAATTAATCGTTCAGCCTTGCGGATTAGGGAACATCCTTTACAATGGGCGGGTTGTAGCCTCTTATGCCTAAATTTTGAGTAATTTTTAATTTTTATTTATAATTATAATCGACATTGGATTTGTGAAATTAGTTTAATAGGACGTGGTTTTGTAAAATCTATTTTTAAGATGCAACAAAATAAATTAGAAGTTTCGCTTCAGTGTCCATAAATTATATTTATTTTAAATTAAATTTTAATTTATCTATTAATATTTTAAAATTAAAAATAAATCATTAAATTATTAATTCTAAATATAATTTATTGATTCAATGAACACTTATAATAATTAAATGGTTATTTTTTGCACGCGTGCATTACATCGAGAGTATTTTTCAGCGTGATATATGGTTTATTTAATTTATCTATGGGAATTAAAAATCTTGTCTCTTATAATATTAATGGTATAAATTATTTTTCGTGACATTCTCTATAACAAATACATCTGAAATCGACTTAATATTGAGCAATAAATTTATAAATAAAAACATTTTTTGAAACATCCTTTAAACATTTGAGAGACGCCTTCTTTCGCGAAATATTTGCCGTGATTATGTACTTATAAATATGTACATTAAAATGAAATTATTTTATTTTAATAAGGCATTTCTATTAAATAATTATAACGACTTTATAATACGTCGAATAGATTTGAAAATTTAATAAAATTATTGTTTAGAAAATATGTGTTTTAATAATTATTGTAAAAAATGGTATATTATTTTTTAAATAATATTTATATTCGGATCTTAAATATTAATGAATATTACAATAATATTTCGAAATAGAAAATACATCACGAAAAATTTTGCAAAATACTTTTTTTTTTCACAACGCGTTATAAAAAATCTTTCTCGCACTTTTCCACTCGAAGTGATTGAACTTTCTACTTCTAGCATTTCATGATTTAAGCAGCATTTAAGCTTTGTGACCACATATCGAGTTATTGCCCTACATCTTTACAGTTCATGTTAGCTCGTGGTGCACTTTATATAACCTGCCGATACCAAAGCCGCATCTTCAGGAGCCCTGTCATCTGCAACGAGAAGAAATATTGTTAATCAAATATTGCTATTAT